TTTGCGCAAACACGGGTATCCGATTACTAGCAACTCATTCAATCTAAAACAACGCATTATCTCTCTCAGTACTCTAAAAGGTACCGCTCCCATTGTGGACCTTTTGAGGCTGAACATCCTAATTAATACCAAACCGTTTTTTTAACCCCTATCAGGTACGACGAGCAGCCCCGTCCTTTTTATATGGAAGTTCCCCCCCCCGGAAGGGGGGGGGCAATAAGAAGGCAAGAATGTATTTTACAGATTACACTATTCAAATAAATGCAGGTACAGGTATTATTCTCGCCTCTGCTGGGATGCTATTGACAGATATCTACGTTTGATACCAGTTTTCCTCGATTCCAACTCAATTTTCACTTTTTAGGCCGAAAGACTAACTATCACAAGTTTATAATGCTTATAAATTAAAACTTTTGATACCATTTCTTCTGATAGGTCGTTCCTACAGAGATGGTAGAGTAAAGTAAAGACAGACCTCAACCCCCAAATTTTATATTGCCTGTAAAAACAGGTTCATTAGGAGTATTAATAATTGACTAGATTAAAGGAGTCTTCAGATAAAGATAGACGACGGTACTGGTTGTTCTTGAAGCTCCCGCGTGGCGTGGCTCCCTTGCTGTCCCTCACGCGCGTAGTCACCCACGCGCGTTTTGTACATGCGCAGTGAGACTTGTTTTGCCGCCATCATTCGAATCGTAACGACTTCGGAATTGGTTGTTATTCAAAAAGCTTGGAATATTTGATTTCAAAGTCACATGAATTTTTCTCCACAGAGCGATACCAGGGGAATTCATGAACAAAACCAGGGTTTCAAAAGCCGCCTTAGATTTGATAACACAGTCTACAAATCGGCGTCAGAAGCTCTAGAGGCTTACATCGCTCAGTTTGAAGGCGGCCGAAGCGTCACGAATTATCGACGGCGTCCTTCCGATTTGCTTTCTCCAGCACCGAAATTTTACTTTATGGATTCATTAGAAAGATCGCTAAGAAGTCCTCCAAGTAAATCGCCTGCTAGAAAAGTCGATGAGCTTTTGGAGTGGGTCAACGTAACTTATGCGAAGGAGTTATCGAGTAGAGTTGCACCTTTCGGATACAGAACTACTCTGGAACTCCCTGGTTCAGGTGAGCAGGTTATTGTGATCGCATGTAGCTAATTTACGCTAACAGTTCACATCGGTTATGAAGGTGCGAAATCCCTGATTGTCCGTAAAGGTATTGCTACTATGTTACAATGTCGATCACTAGTCATCAGTGAAGTCTGTGTTAAAAGTAATTTCACGGTGAATGAGTATATAGAAGCGTATGAACGCGTCCTAGGCAACCCTCTGCTCGCTAATCTGAAGTTGGAATTCCTACAGACTTGCAATCGTAGAGTTCGAGATTTAGATGTCAATTCGAATTTCTCAGTCCCCGGAATGATCATGTTATCTTAAAAATCGAAATAAACATCGCATACGTAAACCAGAGTTTACAAAGTCAACGTTTTGTTTTAATTATGGTAGCTGGCGGGAGTGAAATTTATTCGTAATTGTGCGGTTACAAGTTTAGCGTTTTACGCTCGAGTAAACAAACGAAGCAAAAGTACATGTACATTGCAACCGTCACGGGAGTTTACATTCACAAAGGCGCACTTGTCACGAAATCATGGCACGATTTTCACAAGAATGAGAAAATTAACTGGGAATAGAGCCCGAAAGTCTTCGATCCCGGCTTGTTTAATTAATATAACGCCAGTATAAATAATTTAGAAGGGACGCCATTGAAACCTAAACATCCTTTGTCTCAAAGGCAACCACCGTATGCTGGTGGTCTTGTAGGTTTGATAAAATATGAATTAAATTTTTTAAAGGTAATATCACTATTACCCCTAGGTCTCAAAATCATAGCACATGCATGTAATATGTACACTGTTTTACGTGCTGGGAAGTTTGGTTGCTAGGTTGTAATATTTTGTGCCGTGAGTAATTTGATATACATTAATGCATGGAAATGATCGTTATACCCTGAGATCACCTGGTACATGTAAATGCCTGGGGACTTAAAGGAGGAAAGATGAAAAGAGAGGGTGGTTCTCCCCTTACAGTTATGTTATAGGTATAGCAGAAGCAGCATGTTAAAATTCAAATGTGTATTTGTAATTGTGCTGTCATTCATTCAAAAACCAATCAAATCTTATTTTTGCAAAACAGTATGTACACAAAACTTTGTACAAAAGCAATGAGAAATCTACGTGCCCAGTTGCTGTTGTATGTGTACATATACACATGGTCAAACCTCCGTATGAGGGAATATCGGGAATTAGACATTTGCAGCTGATATCCTGTACCTTCGTGGAGGCTGCACATCAAGTGTACTGTTTGTGTGTGTCTGGAGCAACATCTCAGATTGTCTCAATTCATGATATGTTTAATAGATCCAGAAGGAAAAGAAAAAAAAGAAGAATTAATTCTGTTGGGTCTTGGTCTACAGTTTAGTGCACAGTCTGGCATGTGTACCTGGAAGTATATTTCATGTATATATTTTCATTTGCATGCCACAATTACCATGATGCATTCCAAATAAGGACAATCACATAATTAACAATTGATTCATGCTTTACAGGTAGCATATGTATCATCAAGTTCTGATGCTCATGGGATGTTTGGAGAGCATAAAAGAAGCATAAGAGTGCACCTTAAGCAACTCTAGCTTCTTGAATGCTCTTCAAACTTCCTTGAGGATGTTTGCACAAAAATTTTCCAATATCGATTTTTTTTTCTGAGACTTTTGCCACTGTAAGATGACGAGTAAGTTATGTCAGAAATGTGAAAAAAATGGAGGGTCTTCAACTTCATTTTCGAGAGAATATGGCTGAAAGAACACCCTAAATCTGAAAAAAATCTGGCTTTGTTAGCAAATAAGGCCACAGTGTCTGTAAGCCCCAAAAAATTGCAATTAGATCTTTGAAGTGAAATGTTCTCTGCCAAATATTGTTTAAGTGGACCTATTAAGTGAATGTAGTCAACTGGTGAGGTTCCTTAAAGAACTAATTTGCTTTTAGTGATTATAGTTTCATGCACCTTGCAGCTGCAAGATGGCAGGATTCAATGTTCTGTGGACAGAAATCTTGAAAATTATTTTAACTTCTCACATTGATTTTTTGTTCATTTTTGGACAATGTGGAGATAGTTGTAAATAAAATCTGTTTCTGAAAAGAAAAGTAGGGGTCACTGAGCGTCCAAGATCATTAAATCCAATGGCCATCTGCCTTATTGTTCATTTTAGTACTTAGCGCACGCACTCAATGCATGATGTGGCAGGTGAATTTGTGTGCACAGTAAGGATGTGCAGAAACAATTGGTGTGAACGTCCTTCAGTGAAGCATAACTCAGTTATGCACAGCTAAATAAAAACATGTTTTTGAATCATTTGATTTTGATGCACGCTTCCAGCGTTTGATAGTTAACATTGCTTTGCTACATGTGGGTACATGCATGTTATAAAAACAAAATGGCAACACAGAGAACACAAACATGATCAATGCAAGTGTGAGAAATTGTTTGAGAAAGCTTTCATCGATATCTCTATAGTATTTTCAAATCTCCACATTAAGAGGAATAGGGAGCAATTTCAGATGTATTATTTGAAAAATACCCCACATACGCCCAGGCTCAGACCACCTAACCAGTCCTACAAGTTCAACTCTTCAAAAACTGTTATTTCTCTTGCATATGTATACTGTAATTAAGCCTTGGTTATACAGATTTACAATCAGTATCTCCTGTACAATGGCCCGGGATAGACTGAAAGAGCGTAAATTACTGTTTGATTAGACACCATCCAACACATTTCTCACTAGTATCATTAACCTGCACCACAATGGCATACTATGACTGCAGATCCTTATTATCATTATTATTGTAGCTACAGTGTAGGATAGTGGGTCAATAGTCACTGTGGGCTTTGCCACAGATATCTTCAATATTCCAAAGTAATATGTTTCAAACCAATCTACAGTGGCATGATTGCATGTACATTATTACAATAAACACTCTCTAAGCAGACACTCTACATACCACACTTCAGTCATTGTACTGTACACGTATATAATATACTGTTTTATTGTATTTCAATTCTTTTTTTTTTAGAATTTTTACTTTTTTATTTATGTATTTACTTTAGTCAGTTATTATAACAACAGTCTCCTTACGTTTCAATGACAAACTCTTTGAAATAGTCAACACACAATAAGGGATAAAAGATGTTGGCTTTGATATTCAAGCCATTTGGGGAGTTAGTCTGTGATAAAACTATTCAGTATACATGTGTAAATAATTATGGAGTTCACTCCCATCCTTTAAGAGTTGTCTTTATTACAGTGGGACTACTCGAACCAAGCCACGAAAAAAAAGAAAGAAAAGAAAACTAACTAATCAAAATGTAAACTGAGAGCAATGGACTGGTACTACGCTTCTCATGAGGACAAGTTACAGCCTGTTTAACAAGAAAACAGAAACACTATTGACTCCTGCATTACATACACACTATGTCGTAGAAATTCAGTCCTTGATGGCAAATTATCATATAGATATCACCTGAAAAATTCAGCTTGAAAACTCATTTTGCAACTACATTGTAAACCAAAATTGTTGAAAAGTGTACAAAGTTAAGGATCGAAACTACTTGTAACCAGTCAACAAATGGCAAAGTTTCCTGAGAGGTTCACAACGCTTCACACTTTGTTCACATTCTTCAATGTTATTGGTTTATTTGAAAAAAAGATTCCTACAGTATTTCTTGTTCTCAAGTAACACTCTGATTGGTTAACTCTTTTCCAAGTGGCCTGGTTTGAGTAGTCGCATTGTAACACATGGCAATTTATTGGGATATAAAGGCACAGCCCTTGTTCCTGACCTCACAATTGCCACTTAAGAAGTAATGGGAGTGAAATACAGCTACATGTGACTACTAAGAAAAAATTTTGCTCTTTCTGTCCTAGTATTACTGATGTCAGATTAACTTCACTTGTTTTAAGGAAGCCATTTCCTAACACACACAGTTAGTGCTGGTCCACTGTACTCCTGAAGGTGTTCATATCTGTAATCATTATTAATAATGCTCTTTATCATCTTTTAATCCTCAGATGAAGAAAATATGAATCCTTACCCAGCCAGGCGTGTTCGTCACTCACACAGTGGCAATGATGGTGAGCTTTCTACCCTCCCCTCCCCCAGTTCTTCAGTGGTTGATCTAGACAGCAATGCTGGTACTGTGGAAACAGAAGTTCTACTGAGCAGTTTCAAAGGATCTAGACCTTTGGCCTCAGGTAAACAGTCAAATAATACATGTATATTTTACATATTACTTAGCTCTTATTAACTGAGTAGGAGGTCTGTGTGGGAGAATCTTGACCAAGGTCGTAAGTACAGACCGAACACAGTGAGGTCTGTACAAATGACCAAGGTCAAGGTTCTCCCATACAGACCGACTAAGCTCGGTTAATAAGATGTTTATTATATGGCAAACAAGAAAAAATTAATTTGTTCAATGTAACTGGTTTGTACACTGGGAACCCAAACACTATATCAGCAGTAAAAATAAATGTACTATTATTTACCTGTGTTCCTGTGTCTTTTTGAGTCGTTTAGAAGGGATTTGAATGAAGCGAAGGTAGTTTACATTTCCGAATATTATTTCGTCTGCCGCTTTGTAATTACAACGCTCCAATTAGGTCTCAAGTTTCGATTAATGTTGTGAACTATTAACTCTCCTTGGGGGAGAGATTCTCAAGTTTCATAATGGCCATGTGAGACGAGAGTTAACAGTTAATGACATAAATCGAAACTTTAGACGTAATCGGAGGAGCGTCATAATTACAAAGCGGCAGACGAGATAATATTCGGAAATGTAAACTGCCTTTGCTCCATTCAAATCCCTTCTAAACTACTCAAAAAGACACAGGAACACAGGTAAATAAAAGTACATTTATTTCTATTGCTGTTAAAGTTTTCGGGTCCCCTGTGGTTTGTAGTGAACTGACGTTTTACTTGCGAACGGCGATGAGCTGAACTTAATTTTGCCAAAGTTTGCTTGTCCTCTTTACTTTTTTTCTCATCAGGCTTTTTGGCACTTCGATAAATAAATATTGTTAAAAGAAAATAGTCAATATTTTTGCATTTTAGTTTGCAACTTTTTCACTGCAAAACATTACCAGGCTAGATGCTGGTCTAGATGCCAGTCTAGATGGGAAAATCTAGACCACTTTCAACATTGATTTCAGCAAATCAAATTCATGAATTTGTTAGATACATATTACTCATATCATCCTTGAGGCAAATGGGCTTTGTAAGTGAAAAAAAAAATGCATGAACTAGCTGTCCCAAAAGGTATTGTTCAGTGTAGAGGAAAATTACAATGATTTCGTAAATAAAATCAAATAAACAAATATGATGGAAGATGATGGAAGGTACATATAGATAGACTGTCTAGGTTACCAATTCTATGCTGTGTAACAGTGTTATATATATATATTTTTTTTTGTAAAGAAACAGTTAAGTCCTTTTACATTGCACAGATTATCATGACTAATTAAAATAATATTAATTTGTGGATTGAAAATATTGTTGTGCCTGTGTTACAGACTGCTTCTTCTTGACGTCTTTATTTTACCCTGCATTTCTTTACTAGGATCCTATTCCAGTAAGGCATCATTGAGATCCCCACCAAAAGTGGGGCCAATGAAAAACCGTTCTCGACCTGATGGCAGTACAGAGTACCCCAGTTGGGTGTCTGGACTTGGCAAAGAGTACCCCAGTTGGGTGGAAGATCTTGACACTACTGGACGGCACAGAAAAAAAGAGAGGTCAGTATTCAAACATGATATACACTGCAACTAACCTGGGACATAATTGGTATCTGTCAGTCTTAGAGACACTGAAGTGATGCTCTGAATAGAGGTTCTGTTGCAGCAAGGGAGTTGGGGGAGGGGGGTGCGAATAAATGCGGGAACGGCAGTACTTCCCGCAGCAACTGCAAATGAAGACTGATGCTGGTCTTCCACCCTGGCTTACCTGGGTCGTAGTCTATGCTTCCGCCCAATTTACATTTGCACTTGAATTGATTTGTATCCATAGAGTTCTAAGAGCTTGTACAACTGTAATTACATCCTTTCCTTGAGTTTTTCCTGCATCTGTAGTGGTTTCGTTTTGTTAGTGAACATGATGAGGCTGGTTCCGTAGGCCTGTTTATATTCAGCCTATTAAAGTTGTCAACGTGTTTAGCTGCATGTGGACCTGCCAAAAACAGTCCCTGTCCCACCACACAAACAGTAGGCTCGATTTCCGCCTCACTCTCTGAAGTCTGGTCTACGTTCCCAACGGCGACAGCATCCAAAACAACAATAGTAAAATTGGAAATAAAAAGAAACCAATAAATAAAATGAAATAAAACTGACTAACGGGAGGGTACGGTGGCCGGGCAACACCCAAAAAAACGCCCAAACGCCAAGAGCACATCACGTTGATCCCATGTTGAGCAGGAGAAGCGGAAAAACAGGAATGAGCCTGTGCAGATGAGATGACCGCTGACTGTTGCTAGAGGCGGGTTCCAAGAACCCTTGAACAATGTCTGTTCGGGTTTTCTTGGACTCGTAGTGGTTTAAAACGTTCAAACGAAGCTGTACAAGGCATTTTAAAATTGTTGTAAAACAAGAAGTAATATATCAAACACGAAAGACCGTGTTTGACCACATTTCCAAACACCGAGAAGAGAGTTGAAAATTCGACCCGCAGCGGAGTATTTTTGACGCACTTCGAGGTGTTTGGAAATGTGGTCAAACTCTGTCTTGAGTGTTTGATATATCTTCTCAATCGAAACTAAAACTAAGGAGAAAACGGAGAGATATAATCGTAAAAATCTATGCTAATTAAGATCAGATATCCAAACACCGTCACGGTCATGATTTCCTTTGTTTAAACTTGATGAATAATTAATGAGTTTNTTAAAATTGTTGTAAAACAAGAAGTAATATATCAAACACGAAAGACCGTGTTTGACCACATTTCCAAACACCGAGAAGAGAGTTGAAAATTCGACCCGCAGCGGAGTATTTTTGACGCACTTCGAGGTGTTTGGAAATGTGGTCAAACTCTGTCTTGAGTGTTTGATATATCTTCTCAATCGAAACTAAAACTAAGGAGAAAACGGAGAGATATAATCGTAAAAATGCCTATGCTAATTAAGATCAGATATCCAAACACCGTCACGGTCATGATTTCCTTTGTTTAAACTTGATGAATAATTAATGAGTTTGAGAAGTGGTCGATCAAATTTCGAGCCGATAAACTAACTGTTGAGTTGAAACTGGAGGAATTCTGAAATTTGAAAAGTTGAGCAGCAGTGTTGGTGGCAGCAATGGCGAGAACTGTTCGCACCCAGCGCGTTTGACCAACGCCAATGCAACGCTTAAGCCTGGTTTTCACCAGCGACGCAACCCGAGGAGGGGTGTACTCCCAGAAAAATTGGATGGGGGTGTGCGGCCCGCTTCCCAAAACCCTTACCCTATTTATGACGTGACCCTTAAATCAAAACCCTGTTTGAGATCTGCGTTGTAATTAGTTCTCTAGTTCAGACCAATGTTAAATTACCAGTTCGGAATGTTCGGATGCTTTTGCTTGGGTTTGTGTTTGCGCCGAATTTCGTTTTCACTTGGGTCATCCCTTGCGTTTGTGCTTGCGTCGTTAGTGAAAACCAGGCTTCAGTGCTCCTCTTTCGTTAACTAACGCTAGGTTAATTTAAGTACACCTTTCCATGATTGCCAACTCTACACGTGCGATCCTTGTTCGACTATTGTTAATATATATATTTTGTGATTTTATTCTGTTTTAGCCCTGATAAGAAGTACTCTTCAAGCACGTCATCCACATCAGAAACTGACACAAAAAGGAAATCATTCATGCGTTCTTCACGGTCCACGCCAGGTCTTAAAGTGTCCGATTTACAATCCAGAGGCAGTTACTCTTCAAGAAGACCCAAGGACCCAACAATAGTAAAAATGGCGGAAAGTAGAATGAACGGAGTTGACTGGAATGATGGAGCAAGCACAGACACGGATATGTTAGTTTCGCAGTCTGTATATGGACAAAATCCGGTAAATATGGGAGGCGATTTCCATAATTCTTTATACCAGGACAAGAAGGTTGCGCGACTTAAAAAAGAGTCCACTAAAAAGCTCCGTAAAAGCACGGGCAAGGTAAGATCTGGAGAACAGTCATCAGTTTCTCCGAGACGATCTAAAAGTCTAAGTTTCACACCCACAAAAACTCTGCGTTTTTCCACAAGGGACGAATATTTGGAAGGAAAAGAGAGCACGCCTTCTAGAACTAATGTATTGAGGGATTCGTCCCCAGAGGGGAGTCCTTTTACTGCTCTTCCCTCAAGATACAGCATACCTCCACAGAATGAAAGATATGGCACAACTGAAGAGGCTGGACGCCGCAGCGTGTCACCAAGGTTAAACCGAATGTACGTTTCGCCGCCTACTCTAACACGGTATTCAAATCTACCCGCCAAGAGGGAAGAAGGAAAATCATTACCAACTGTCAGTAGAAAACAGTATGCTAGTTCCAGTCCTGTCAAATCTCCGTCGCCCGTAAGCATTCCACTAAAGATAGACTTGCCGCCACGAAAGGACGACAGCGATATGGAGTCTGACGACACGGACAGAGTCATGCGCAAATCACCTACTGGAATTAAAATGGAAAAGATGTATAGAGATCCTAATACCATGTACCCTTGGAAAACTATGATTCAGAGTTCTAGATCGCAAGAGAGCACCGTCGAGTCCGTACATCCTAAACCCCAATATTATTCAACACCCATGGCTTACACGGGTAGGGAAACCCCGATGGTACATGGCTCATCGGGCAGGCAAACTTATTCTAGCAGTGTGCCCCACAGTGACCGTCGTAGCGATTCAAGAGTGGCTTTCTCTGAACCCAGAATCCAGACCCAGCGTAACATGCACGCAAGGACGATGGAGAATTTGAAATCAACTCCCAAGCCCGTGTTCGCCAGTTCAAGTTACCGAGCAAGAGAGGAGAAGCTTGCAAAGCCAGCTCCTGATGCACGGTACCGGAAACCTCCTCCCGGTCCCAGCAGGAGTGCAGCGCGGAAGACAAGTCACCGACGGAGCAAAACGGTTCCTGATTTAAGAAGGATCGCCATCAGTTCAGCTTCAAGGCCAAGACATTCACGCCGGAGTCTTGACGATGATGTCATCAGTGTGAACACGGCGGACACTGAAACGCTTGTTACCCACCCACCCATGCCTCTGTTTGATGTCAGCCCTTCGCTGACTACTGTCTCAGATAGCGACACATTAGTCGAGTCGGAACCGGAGACAGAGACGGACATGGGTGTGATCAAAACACGTCACTTGAGTCCGCGGCATATGACGCAAGTGACAGAGGTACAGGAGGAAGACGAGAAGTTTTCGCCGACAAGTGCGTTTGCTTCGACCAACCCGCATGCAGCAGTACGAGAAGAACTTCCTCAGAGATTTCACTTATGGAAGTTGTAAGTATATTTGAAAAACTTGCTAGTGGCTCTGTATTAACAGGTAGAGATGTTTTCCAGTTTCCCTTATAATTCAATAGTTGTTTTCTTCTTGATTTAGGTTTTCGTTTCGTTCAAGTGAAATTTTCTAATGCAGGTCAAATGTAGATAGAGGCTGCGAATGTAGTCGCCACTTGTTTACTGATCACAACCGGAACGGGCGAGGGAAACGTTCGTATAACGTTGTTAACGGGAAGTTAAGCGAGGTGCTGCATTTACTTCGCGTACATGTAAATGCGCTGGAGGCATCCATCTATGTACAGTGTGTGATATAGCTCTAGCATAAGGGCAATTTGTGTCAACCTTTTCCCTGATGCTTCGCTGGAAACAGGATGCATGTAAGCGCATGAAAGTTCACTGTCCAGATTTCAAAGCACGTGGACAACATGTATTTTGTATTTCTGTTAATTTCTATACAGAGATGAAGACACAAAGGCACCAGAAAGCTTCATTAGAAGGCGCTTTACAAGTCCAAAGTCTGGCATCATATCATCATTCCTTGAAGACTGTCTGAGTGTTGATAGTGATGATAAAAAACCAGTGGTGAGCTTAGACTCGTTTGTTCGCCCTCTATACGTGATGTTTTGCCCGAAACTTCTTTAGTTCCCCATTCTCATGATCCACGAAATCCGCTCTCTTTTTGCTAAATTTTCTTGCATAACATGCGCTTTGAAGGAGTGATTGCTAAGTTACTGGAAGCTTGTGCAAAGCAGTTTTGACGAGCCTGTTTGTTGTGGTGATTTGTTTAGAAGCCGGATAACAGCTCTCCTGCAGCGAGACTCAGTGGAAAGGAAGCTGCCCCAGGCCCTGTGGAAGCCTTGAAACAGATGCTGTTTACCATGCAGGACATGGCGCATCACGAATCGCTAGATAACGGTGATTCAGACTACTATAAGGTAACACCAAATCACGAAACACTAAACAACGTATATTTAGGATAAGGTAACGCTAAATCACGAAACGCTAAATAACGGAAATTTAAGATAAGGTAACGCTAAATTACGAAACACTAGACAACGTATATTTTGGATAAAGTAACGCTAAATCACCAAACGCTGGACAACGTTTATTTAGGATTTGGTAACGCTAACTCACGAAAAGCTAAATAACACATATTTAGGATAAAGAAACGCTAGATAACGGAAATTTAGGGTAAGGTAACGCTAAATCACGGAACACTAGCCAACGTATATTTAGGATTTGGTAACGCTAACTCGCGAAAATCTAAATAACGGATATTAAGAATAAGATAACGCTAATTTACGAAACGCTAGACAACGGTGATTTCCACATCTATAAGGTAACGGCAAAACACGACACATTTGATAACGGAAATTCAGACTATGATTGGTGAATAAAATGACCATTTTCTCTTGCAAGGCTTCCTCTGATGTGGATTTCAAGTCCAGAGATGCAAAAGATTCTCTTACGTCAGGTATGTATTACTTAAGGTCGCTCCAAACAGTTTCTAGCACTTAGATTGTCATGGGTCGTTTATAACTACTCTTTATCACTTGATGCTACAATCATGGTATTAAAAAACTGCCCAATCATTGGTGAACGCGTTGTTATCATTTTCGTGACACAATGGGTTACCATAGCAACNAAAAATCTGTACATAGGGTTCAGAGCCAACTTAAAGTTTCAAGAATTTAAGGTGGCTCTGAACCCCATGTACAGATTTTTTGGAAACTTTGCCAAAAGTTTCGTCTTATCATGCTTATTAAAATTTGATAATATTAAAAAGCCACCTTTGAGCCACCTTAAATTCATTCAAGCAACTATTTTAAAGAAGCTACTTCTGTCGCAAGGTACTAATGTTTCACTCGCAGCTGTTGATGGCTAAAATAAAACAATAATTTAACTTGCAGCCTATGATACCTACATTGTGTATAATGGATTTTACTAAGGTTGAAATACATTCGAATCGAGTTCTTCCCAGGCCATTTAATCAATTTCGTTAATGTTTTTCAGTTTGCTGAGTTACGTTTCTGTTTCAGATGACCAAAGTGAGCGAGACGCCGACATTTTCCGTGGAGAGGTCTCTTTACAAAGGTGTGCCAAGGTTCTATATTAACATCCTTTAAAAGATCTTTTGTTTTAAACCAATTCTATGAAGCTCTCACCCTTTTTATTAAGGTGTATGCTTTATCAGGTTTTGCAGAAAATGGCTTAAAAGAAATGGGGACTAGGTTATCTCCTGCATTTTACCCCTGGTCAGTCTGCATTTTACCCCCATTCTACAGTCTGCTACCCGCAGTCTGCGTTTTGCACTGACTGGCTCACCATGAGGCCAAGCCAATTGTATCATGCTTTGTGTTTGTTAAACAACTCAGCTCTTATGCTGGTGTCATCTTCCCTTCACAGAGCGTATCATCATCTGGAACGACTCAAGAGACTTGTGGGAAGAGAAGATGATCGCTCTTCAGTGAGCTCCACCAATTAACAACCACACACATTGTAATTAATTTAGTTAGTTTAAAGTTAATTAATTATCTACTGGTACGTTGTTCTCATTGAAAAAAGCCGTTTCGGGCGTGCGCCGTGATCTTTATCCAATGCCGTTTTGTTTATCACGGATGTTCATCAGTTGATTGCAATTTCACGTGCCTCCTCCCCGGTTCCTGCTGACAGTCCGTATATACCATGAAACTCTAGCTCTTCGTCTCCAAGTCTTTACGGAAGGAATGGTTGAGCCCGGACGTTTTCTTTCTTGGTTTACGTAAGAGACGTACGTACCATTTAAGGACATCTTGCTAGTGTAAATTAAATGGCTCGTATGTTTTGGAGTCAAAGTGGAAAAAAAATTGCTGCTAGCTATAGATGGCTGTCATATTGAGGCTATTCTTGAGGACTCTTGCCTGTCTTATTAATTTAATACCGCATATTTAAACAATGACAGAATATCGATTAAATGTCAGCTATATATCAAAAGAGAACATGCTTTCTGAGCATTTATAGACCACTAATCCCATATTTTCAGTGGTGATCTTTGTTTTCGGGAGCAGCGTTTTGTAGTATTATGAGATTTTAAGATCGGTTGCTAGAGATTTTTGAGGTATAAATATAAGCTGTCAGCAAGGGTGGTGAGGTTTACATATAAATTTGTCAGTTATTGCTTAAAGTTTTGATTTTTCAATTTTCATCTACACCTTCCAGCCTTGTATGGCACAGAATGGCATGGCCTTTAATAGAGTGACCTTAACTCTTGAATCAGCAATCTGAATTTGTGATTAAACCAGATATGCGGCGCTTTCAAGAAAGTTTCCTACACAGTATTAAGCATTCATGCAGTTACGATAAAATGTCGGTCGACGCATCATCTCATCATCCACCCTCCCCTTCCCCCTTTTTCCCAGCTCAGAGAGGGATGTGGTTTTGATTACGAGAGCACAATTGACGTTCCAGTGTATTAAGAGAAATAGACCAGAGATTAACGATTATTCAGATACAAAGATCATTTATTGAGATTTCGTTTTTATTATCATTATTCCGCTTGGTTCTTATCAAATCAATAAACTTTTTATCAAATTACAAAATAGCTATGGGTTGTTATTGCATGGGAAGGTGATTCAGAGAAATTTGTTGGAAGTGATTTTTGATCAAATATTTTCTGATAATTTTTTATAGTTTTTATAGGGTAATATATACGAATATTTATATTTATACTACTAGTAATTGCAAATATTAAACAACTTGGTCTATTCTTTTGTGGATTTATAATATATTAAATATTGTTACAAAGCAACGTATCCTTTAGTCTGTTATTTCCGTCTCCTGGGAAGGAATAGCATCTTCAGTTAGTTTTTTATGTATACAATAGACTATTTTACAGTTGTCTGCTCAGTGACCTGGCCTTTGAATGGCAGCGAGGCTGCAGGTGACCTTGTTTTGATACAGACCTCACTGCTTTTGTTGTGTAAAACAGGTTGTTCTTATGCACAAGCAGAGAGGTCTGTATCAAAGCAAGGTCACCTAGCCTCGCTGCCATTCAAAGGCCAGGTCACTGAGCAGACAACTGTAAAATGGTCTGTTGTTGACTGATTACGCTTATATATTTTTCTGGGCGATATACGCGACAGCAAAATTATCTCCAACAATTTTTTCATACCAAGAACCCCGCCATGCTAATGCGTTTATAAAATCATCCATTCTTCTCTCAACCAAAACGAAACAAAATATTTTCGCCTACACTGCCATTTTTGTTTCGTTTTTCTGCGCTAATGCATTTTCAGTCGAAAATGCACACTTTTTGATGCATTTTCTAAAACGCCAGAAAACGCTGATGGTAGCGACACTGTATGACACGTGTTCCGTCACCCTTTTGAAAAGCCTCCGTTTTCACCTGGAACGTTTTCAAAACGATGCGATTTCAAAAGGCTTCACTTTTAATATATTTTGTAAC